TGCCAGATTCAGACTTTAAAAACAGGGCTTATCCAAATGTGTGTTTTGACTTTATGTTGCACTTCTTGAGTTCGACCTACTCGAAATAATTATAATAATCACAACAACAATAACAATACTTCGTAATAAATTTACTCCATCGTCCTAAAATGATTTACGCACTCACTTTCAAATTTATAAAAACTTTTATTTATTTATGTTTATTCGTTAATTATCTGATAGAAACACATAATTTTATCACTTTTTATTTTGTAAAATTTCTAATGTAAGTTTTAAATATGCATTTTTATTTTGATACTAATTTTTAAATAAAATAAATTTAAAAAATTTGAGATTTGCCTCCTTTGACTTCCAACTTCCAACTTCCAAGTATATCTTGATGGGTTCGATGTTGAATTCTCAAAAAAAAATAGGGAGTAAAAAGAAAAAACCTCAAGACTGGAAAACCTTAAGCAAAAGGTGAAGATTCTGCCTCCAAGTGCTCCCCACCTTCGTCATTCTGTTCCAGCGATTAGCTCAACGCTTCATAGCATACCGATTCACCAAATACTTATATACACAATAGATTCGTTCAATTGCAGATCTGAAGAATGGTGAGAGGATTGCTACGCAAGCTCGCCGGACGATCGCTTTCCGTCGCCGGAAAATGGCAACAGCAACAGCTCCGCCTAAACCGAATCCCAAAGGGATTCAGTTTCCTTCTTTGATCAGGCTTCCTTCTTCTGTCGCCAACACCCCCTCTCAAGCTGGAGCATGGGAGTTCAACATGCCCAGCTTGGACATCAAAAGATTGAACAAAGCAACAGAGCTTGAGGAAGCCGCTGCCATCGTTGTCCAAGTGTCATCTAGACACTTCAATTTTTTTCTTCAACGGAGACGCCAAGCTTTTCGAATCCGCCGAATAATCAGTCCAGTAAAGGAACGTCATTCTTTTCGAACCTTCACCGTATTCGAACAAACAGGGGGAACGCCATTCTTTTCGAACATCATGAACGCCGACTTTTTTTATTGTCTGCTAAGGAAAGAGTTGTTTGTCTTTGTAAAACAACCCTTCTTGGACAACTTCTTCAAGATTGATGGTTGGGCAGGATTCCTCGACAACAATGTTTTTCATTGAAGGATTTCATGATATTCTTTAGTGAGGGAGAACAATTAAAGAAAATAAAAATTACAATATCCCGCCGGTAGGCATTGAATTGTGTATGCCCACCGGTAGGAGAAGAAGCGTGTTTGAGGTCTCAAGAATTCAAAACTTGCTCTGATACCATGTAGAAATTAATAAGAGGAAAAATATTTTGTATATTGAATTGGCTTGTGAATACAAAGATCTAACCCTCTTTATATAGGAAGAGAGTAAAACATGTAAGTAAACTTTTATTCCTACCATATTTTCATTCCTACTATAACAAGAACTAAGCAAACTAGAAAAGATACTAAACCGAATCCCAAAGGGATTCAGTTTCCTTCTTTGATTTGACTTCCTTCTTCTGTCGCCAACAGTATTTTACCGGTATGGGTTTTAAACGTGTCGGGACTACTCGTCCTATACCCGACCCTTTATTTTTTAAAAATAACGGGTACGAGTTCGGGTACAGGTAAACGATATTTTTTATACTCCTAAACCCGCTAAAAAATAACGGGTTTTATACGGGTTCGGGTCTATACCCGACCCATTGACAGGCCTAGTTGCAATCAAAGACAAAGAGCCAACTCCCTCCCATTGCCATCATTCTCATATATTATCATTATTACTTAAAATTTGTGTTGAAACACAAACACTAATCAAAAATATTGTTCTTTACAAGAGTCAATATCTTTATATTTGCAATAGCAATGGTTATTGTGTAACTCGTAAACAATTTTGAAAATTAGACCAGATGTCCATCATAACGGTTATGATAATCGGGTAAAATATTGATAGTTGACCGATCACTACTTTTATTAGTTAATGTGTTATTATATATATACTAGTACTTTGTACAGTGTAAAATTCTAGAATTATATACTTAGTTGATTAAAATAAGAAAAAAGTAGATGACCAAAACATATTGCTCCATAATACTCCATGAAGTATACTTAGTGATAAGTAAAATCCATACTTGGGTTGAACACCACAGAGGTGCATAGTCGGGAATAGACCAGACAAATACTTAAAATTACTCTATAAATGACATATAAAGAACAAAAGAGTATGACAGGTCAGATCACTCCATGGAGATGACCGATTAGGTCACTCTAGAAATTAAAGATGATCAATCATATATTTGGTCAGGTCATATTTGTCACTTCCATCCAATAGAAAATTTCCATGAAACGAGAAACCTTCCAAGTAACTCAATCTTCAATCCGTAGACAAGGATGTCTTAATGATCTCAGTCAAGTGAGTCTTCCATCCAGAGTTTAACTATGGATGTGCTAATGTGACCCACCCTATCATTCGCAAGTTTAGATTGAATAGTAAAAGCATTATTTTGTCACATTTCATGATTTGATAGCGAAATCTTAAAAATTTCTTAATTGTTAGGTAATTAAGGGTCCGTTCCGTAGGACTTATTTTTTCTACTCATTACTTATTCTTATTAAAATCAGATCAGATCAGATCAGATCAGACCCAATCAAATCCAATCAGATCAGATCAGACTCAATCAGATCAGATCAAACTCAATCAAATCAGATCAGACTCAATCAGATCAGACCAGATCTAATCAGATCAGATCAGATACAATCAGATCAGACCAGATCCAATCAGATCAGATCAGATCTAATCAGATCAGATTAGACCAGATCAATAGAGCCTAAGGAAGGCTCATGTTAGCCATTAAGTGAACGGTAGTCAATCACCACATGTGTTATACCCCGTATCAAGATGGAAATGGAAAGAGCTCAAGAGGGTTGATAGTACTACTCATACCAATAAGGATTGATAGTACTACTCATACCTAAAAATCTCCAAAGTTAAGCGTGCTTGACCTGGAGCAATTTTAGGATGGGTGACCTCTTGGGAAGTTTTTCTTGGGCACGCACGAGTGCCTGGAGCAATTTTAGGATGGGTGACCCCCTAGGAAGTTTTCCTTGGGCGCGCACGAGTGAGGACAAAGTGTGCGGAAAAGACTTCTGTTGGTTTGTGGGGTCAGTCTACAATCCTATGAGCGAACACTTACGGTTAGGGTGGGGGCCGGGGTGTTACAACATGTGACCTCCTCCTCTCTATAAATAGATTGATGTAGAGGGAAGAGAAGACATTCAATATTGCTGATACAATCCACTACAATGTTGAAATAGAGTAATAAATATTTTTGGATACATGAAGTCTTTCTTGATCTAAATAATATTTTGTGGTGTTCTTACTTTCTGTTTCAGTCTCACTTAAATTGTGACAAAGACACATCTCACTCTTTCTTATGCAGTTAAATTTACACTTAATAAATTTTATGTAATATTTGATTATTAGAGAGATAATAATATTTCAGGTATATATAAATGAATCATTTTATTTATAGATGGAATATAAATAATTTCTCTATTTTTCTTTTGAATTGCTTTTAGGGTCTATAAAAAAATTAATACTGAGTATTAAAGAAGCTTAGAAGAAAAAATATAAAATTCCAAAAAAAATAGAACCACAATATGACAAAGTATCAAGATGGGTGAATCGGTTGGGTCAATTCTGATCACCTGGTTTGTCGATCTTAGGCCATGTGTTATGGGGGCTTTAAGGAGTGTTTGATGAAGTGTAAAAATTTATGATGTTGAATGATGAAAAATATGTGTTATAGTGAGTGTGAAGGATTATGACATGAATCTGTGTTAAATTTTGATTTGTTGAAATAAAAAAAGAAAAATCGGAGGCAACAACGGGATGACCCTTCCTGCGTGAGGGACCACGCCCAAAAGATGAAAGCCCCGTGAGAAAGGGGCATGTATGGGGTGTGAAGGAGGAGGTCAAGCCCTCATCACCTCATCATAACACATGGTCTGATGGGTTAGATTTTTTTTGTAAAACCAAGTTCGATTATTACATTGGGCTAGACTTTTGTTTAGGTCGCGATCTAATTGATCGAATCGAAAACTTAGATTTTTTATAACTCTTGATTTGACATTTTGGTCAAGATTTGTTGAGAGTAGATCTGATTACGAGGCATCTAACTCGTCCGCAAAATAATAGGCTTACGCATTATATTTTGAGGTGCATGCCAGATTCGGGCTTTAAAAAGAGGGCTTATCCAAATGAGTTATTCGAAGGCCGTGTTCTGATTTTATGTTGTACTTCTTGAGTTCGACCTACTCCAAATAATTATAATAATCACAACAACAATAACAGTAATAAATTTATTCCATCGTCCTAAAATGATTTACGCACTCACTATTTCAAATTTATAAAAACTTTTATTTATTTATGTTTTTCATTAATTATCTGATAAAATACATATTTTTATCACTTTTTATTTCGTAAAATTTCTAATGTAATTTTTAAATATGTATTTTTATTTCGATACTAACTTTAAATAAAATAAATTTAAAAAATTTGAGATTTGCCTCCTTTGACTTCCAACTTCCAAAGTACTACCTCCGTCTCAGAGTATTTGTCCACTTTCATTTTTACACACCATCCAATACACTTCTTTAATCCATTTTATCTTGTAATTTGTATATTAAAAAATTATAGAAATTATATATTAATAATCTATATGTTAATTTGTATATTTAGGCTTACACATTGAGAAAATTTGATGAGTCAAAGTACTTAGATGAACCATTCCAAAAGTCAAAAACTAGAGGAATACTCTTAGTAAATCTTGATGGGTTCGATGTTGAATTCTCAAAAAAAAAAAGGAGTAAAAAGAAAAAACCTAAAGACTGGAAAACCTTAAGCAAAAGGTGAAGATTCTGCCTCCAAGTGCTCCCCACCTTCGTCATTCTGTTCCAGCGATTAGCTCAACGCTTCATAGCATACCGATTCACCAAATATTTATATACACAATAGATTTGTCCAACTGCAGATCTGAAGAATGGTGAGAGGATTGCTACGCAAGCTCGCTGGACGATCGCTTTCCGTCGCCGGAAAATGGCAACAGCAACAGCTCCGCCGCCTCAACATCCATGAATACCAAGTATATTGTTTTTGCTCCCTATATATGCCTTTTAATATGATGTTTTTAACTGCGTGAATCTCTCGCTGCCAATGCATATAAATTCTGTTTTTGTGCTTTTGAGAATCTCATTTTAAACCATATTTGTTTACTTTTTAGAATGAAATTTAGATGTCAAAGGATGCTGTCTGTATTAATGGATTTTTAATTTTTCAAGGGTTAGGGCTGCCTTGAAAGGCTATAACCTAGGGGAGATTTTAATATGCATTTGATATGGGGCCATGTGTTAACAGGGTGCCGAGTTGATGGGGAAGCATGGAATCAATGTCCCACGAGGTGTTGCCATTGGCTCCATTGGAGAAGTGAAGAAGGCAATTCAAGATTTATTCCCCAATCAAAATGAGGTAATTTTGAACAGCCATCTGAATGTTTTTAGAAATATTTGTCACCTGTTCGCATCTGAATAAATTCAAGTGGTTTTGGTTTAAGGGAATTTACAGGATTTGGCATTTTTCTAATATATTCTCAAGTTAGATTACTTAGATATTCCTCAAACTGCGACCTTAAATGCATTTTCCATGTTTCTTTGGTGTATTTATTCAGTACTGTTTTTATATATACTACGTACTCCTATAAAAATTGAGATAAAATATGCCCTTTCTTCTTGTAGATTGTTGTGAAATCTCAAGTGCTTGCTGGTGGAAGGGGCTTGGGAACATTCAAAAATGGATTTCAAGGTGGTGTTCATATTGTGAAGGCTGATCAAGCCGAAGATGTAGCAGGTAATTAGTAATGTTTGTTATCTGTGTCAGATGGGTGTTTCTTTTTGTTTCCCTTTTTCAGGTAGGGGACCTAGTGCGGTTGCGTACTGCCTTTCTTTTAGACTGTTGTTTCTTATGCATGGGTGTTTCTTTTTATGTTTGTTAATGCATTGTTCTTACTTTTTCAAATTGGACAAGGCTTCAAGTGAGTGTTGCAGAGATGTGAATTTTTAGTACTGATACCTATTTTCTTCGCATATTTTTCTTTCAATTTCTCATGTAAATCACATTTGTTCCTATATTTCTGTTTTGGAGGAAGGGGCACAGAAATCAAAGCTATAAATACACTTACCAGCGATAGTGCAAAATCTTGAAGTACTTAGACCCAATATTTGTTTCATAGCATTTGATAGTCTTCCTGAATCTATTCCTCGGGGTATATTGGTGGAATTTAGTGAACAAAACTAGATGTCAAGATGCTTGTTTCATTTTTTATCAGGAAAGATGCTTGGGCAGATACTTGTTACCAAACAAACTGGGCCCCAGGGGAAAATTGTCAGCAAGGTTTGACATATATTTCCATATTCAATTTCATGAAACTTGTTGCATTTTCATATTTCATAATCTTCACAAAATAACAGATACACAGTTAACTCTCAGTGGATCCGCTCTACTAACAGGCATTTACCATATTGCCATATGATATTAGCCAGCTAATACATTATCCATCTACGGTCTACCATTATAAAGAGAAATAAATGCATCTTGAATTGAAAATGAAGCTGTTGATACTTCGTGTTTTAGGGACTTTTTTGAGATTCAAGAAGTTATATTTGCATCTATTTCAGGCTTATCTGTGTGAAAAACTGTCATTGGTTAATGAGATGTACTTCTCCATTATTCTTGATCGTGCATCTGCTGGTCCTGTACGTAATAAAACAAGCTCCCTTGGCATTTTGTTGATTTTTAAAGGATGTTCTGGATAAGTTATTTAATGTTGATTATAATCTAGAGATGGTCACACACGTGTCTCCTTTGCTTTCCTTGCAGCTTATTATTGCCTGCAGAAAGGGAGGAACAAGTATTGAGGACCTGGCTGAAAAGTTCCCTGATATGATTATAAAGGTTCATCTCAAACCCATTGCATTGTATTTTTTATTCCCATTATAATTCTGTGTTTACTGATTTCTATTAAATTTCCTATTTCCTATTAGGTACCTATAGATGTTTTTAAAGGCATTACAGACAGTGATGCAGCAAAGGTTGTTGATGGTTTGGCCCCTAAGGTTGCTGACAGAAACGATTCAATTGAACAAGTGAAGAAGTTGTACAATCTTTTTTGTCAATGTGACTGCACATTATTGGAGGTGTGACCTTTTGATGTTTCTTAATGATAAATGTTTTCCTTTGGTCTAGCAAATGGTTGTACATATATTTTCATCTGCTCTCCTACTGGGGTTTAATGTTTACTTTTTATCAGATTAATCCCCTTGCTGAAACATCTGATAAAACGTTAGTAGCTGCCGATGCCAAAATGAATTTTGATGATAATGCTGCGTACCGTCAAAAGGAATTATTTTCTCTACGTGATTCATCACAAGAGGATCCCCGTGAGGTATCACCTCCTATTTCTGAACTTTATTGAAACTGAATAATCCACTTTACAGCATGTTGATTATCCAAAAAGGTATAAATGAATATACACTCATCAGTCATGTCTTTTTTTCCTGCACTGTTTTGGTTTTGTTTGGCCCACAGGTTGCAGCTGCAAAAGCTGACTTGAATTACATTCGCTTAGATGGAGAAATTGGTTGCATGGTAAATGGTGCTGGGCTGGCGATGGCTACCATGGACATAATTAAACTACATGGTGGAACTCCAGCCAATTTCCTTGATGTTGGCGGGAATGCCAGTGAAGGCCAGGTATGTCTTTAGCACCAAAGATCATTTGAGATGTCTATTTGTGGTAGTTGGTAAAAGTTGGAAGTCTTGTAAATATGAATTAATACACGTCCAAACACATGCAAAGGAATTGTCTGAATAACTGTATTTTATATAAGGGTTTGGGCATCTTAAAAAGCTAAATCTACCTGTAGGTTGTGGAGGCTTTTAAAATCTTGACCTCAGACGAAAAGGTGAAAGCAATTATGGTGAACATATTTGGGGGGATTATGAAATGCGATGTAATAGCCAGTGGAATAGTGAACGCTGCAAAACAGGTGAGACAAATGTCATGGTTACTTATTAGACTCTCATTCATAATAACATACAGTCTATACACTATTTTGTTTTGGGATCTTGTAAGCAGATTTTGGTCATTTAGGCATTTTACTCATTTCTATACTCCTCCAAAATGTTGACTGTTTGGTCATGTTTTCAAGGTTCAACTGAAAGTACCAGTGGTTGTTCGTCTTGAAGGAACTAACGTGGACCAAGGCAAGAGGATTCTCAAGGTACACCCTTTTTGTTGGAGACCCATTGTCACGAGCTTTTTCATGCAGCAAACTATTATGATCTCATTTTCTTTATATGGTGATTTAAGTAACATTACTGATGTTGGATTTACTATTTTCAACATAGGTTTTCCACTGTGTTTGTACATGAATGAATTTGTACATTCTAGTGTTAAATAATTTTAGGCAATTATCGACACTGAATTTCATGGAACCAACCTCTTAGTTAAGGTTATATCAACATGTTTGTGTTTGCAGGAAAGTGGCATGAAACTCATCACTGCAGAAGATCTTGACGATGCAGCCGAGAAAGCTGTTAAAGCAGCCACTAGTAGTTAAATGAATCTCATATCGGCTTATTGATTGGCGAGTGATTAAATCTCTGAATGCATACAATAACAAACACAACACATTAGAAAAATAGTAATTTGGATGTGCTTTTCCATGATATTATTGAATAAGCCTAGTTTTTGTTCAACTAATGGTCAATGCCCCCTTCGGTCTGGGTTTTTTGTCAATGTTCTTGGAATTGCAAAGATGAAAGTTATCTTTTGTGTTCCTTCTTAATTCTTATCAAGGGGAATGACTTCCTATTATTTGAACGTTTAGTTTAGTCTGTTCAATTTGTTTTGTACAGTATTTTGTTTGTTCCTTACAACTAAAGTAGAGTCTTAGGGATCCGTTTGGTACATGAAATTGAATTGGAAGTTGAAATTCTATGAAATTGATTTGGATGGAATTGAATCCTCCAAATCCAATTCATTTTTGGCTCTACCAATTTCAAATCTACATATTTTTTTACTACCAAACAGTAGAATTGGATATGTTGTCCTCAATTTCAATTTCATAGTTTGAATTTGGTGTACCAACGGAGGCTTAGAATCTCAATATTTCAAAAGCGGTATATTGCTGCTTTTATTGAAATAAAATTGATTTTACTAAATTGGAAGTCATATAGTGAAAAATGGAAGGGTAAATTTCACCGGTGGTTCATAAATTTCATTTTGTCTCACTAAAATATTTTCACAAAAATACCTGGTTCTAAGTTGCTGTCATGTCATTTTCGATCAAATTATATACTCCCTCCGTCCCGTTTTAAATCGCCCGTTTTGACTTTTTGGCATATTTAAGAAAAATTAAAAATAGAGTTGATTTTTCAAAATTGTCAATATTTTTAGGAGGAATTATGATGAATGAGAATATAATGTGGAGAAGACTGACTTATTTTAGAGGTAGTTTAGGTATTTTATTTTTAAAAGTTTACGAAAACAACTAACAGGCAACTTATTTTGGGACAGAGAAAAAAAGGAAACATGCAATTTAAAATGGGACGGAGGTAGTAATTTTATATATTTTCAATTTTCTATTTTGACCCATGTACTTACTGTTTAATTTGATTAAGCCTAATATAAATATTTTTTCACCCTTACCTCCCTTCTTGAGCCCACCCTCTTCCCCCCTTCATGTCACCTCTTGTTTCACAAAAAGAAAAAAAAAATTAGTTTTAAGTAAATAAACCTTATTTTAAATTTTGCACCGTTATGTAAATAAGTTTGATTGGACATAAACTTAGTCAAGCCTCATTATCATACAGAGTAATTAATTTGGTACTCCGTACTAAAAAATATTAGTTCTCCTGTTATAGATAACGAAGTTTAAATAAAATTATTTTCTATCTAATTTGTTTAAAGAATAATGCAAAATTGTAAAATAAAATGTACAAAATCTTTGTTAAACTAAATCTGTATTTTCCTTTTGGGACACCCAAAAAGAGTTCCATTCTACCTTTGGAAAGGTTTTTGTGGTTCATATTTTTATATTTCTTACATCACTTTCAAACAAACAATTTTTTCTTTAAATTTTGTGCTAAACTAAATGTGGACAATTAAACTGGGCGGAAGGAGTATTAAAAAAGCTATAAAATCTCTATAAAAATTGGTGATATGAGTTTTATTAAATACGGAGTAGTTGCTGAAAATAAGTACTCCCTCCGTCCCAAATTGGATGTCGTTGTTACTATTATAGTTTCTCGATAACTTTTTTTTGTTTGTGTGTTTTCACTGATCATTTGATAAAATAAAATATTCTTATCACCACATGTTTTGTTTTTTATGTATTTTTGAAGGGTGTAATTTATACTTTTACACTAATTTATAATTAAAAAAATTTTAAAAATGATAAAATCTTGCCTATGGAACGGAGGGAGTAATTAAAAATTGATTAGTGAATAATTGGATGAAATGTTTTTTTCGGAATAGAATAAGTACTCCCTATTATTTACAGTATATACTTTTATGATTATGAATTTTATCTATCATCTTTCAAAATTTATCGCATTTATCGTAAAGAAAAATTGTCATGCGGAAGCTTACTAAGTAAAAAAGTGAAGATTGCAAATTAGGAGTTACGATGCAAAATTTCTCATTTTTTGAAATCATTTTATTTATAAATTGGTATATTAATAAGAAATAAAAATTACATATCAAAAAGATTACGTCAAAGGTTTTACAAAACATGAGGTGACAACAATATTTTATTAAATCAAATATTCAATAAAAACAGACAAGTAAACAAAAGTTATCAATAGGAGAGAGAAAAAAGATTGGAATCTATTTCGCGACGAAGGGAGTATAATTTTTTTTCTCCACTTGATAACTTTAATTTTGTTTATTTGTATGTTTTCATTGATTATTTGATAACATAAAGTAACCGGTCAAGCTGCAGACACGACAGCATGGAAGATTTAAACTAAAATAGAACACCGGACAACTTTAGAAAAGGCGATCGGTATCATGCATTAATCCACCGGTCAAAGTTTGTGACTTCAAGCTGGTGGACTACTGACCCTTAAGAACATAAGAGATAAACCTACCGGGTAGATTACTACGGTGTAAAAGTGTTGGTACACAAGGATTCACGGAAGGTTGGACAGTAGCGACTGAATTCAACGAAAGATCACCGAAGATATTCGCACAATCTGTCCAACACGCTACGCGAAAAGAGAGTCACCTTCCTAGCAAGATGACAAGGGAATAAAGGGATAAAACGACCCACTAAGGGACAAAAGCAATCACCTCGCGCCACCCAAGAACGTGGCCTGACGAGGATTTACATCGCCTTGTCCCCTCCAACTTCCTATAAATACTTCTGTAACCCTCGAATGAAAGGATCCGAATTCCATTTATCTAGAACTTATACTGTAATAACTCCCAACACTTTCTTACATACTTAATAACAATTAGACTACAAGTGCTTCCACCTACAGTCTTACCGGTCACTCATATTTTCCACACTTCTTAACTTCCTGATCTTAGCAAACTATTCTATACCTGGTCGAGTACAGTTTGTCCGGTGGCTAATTTAGACTATCACCTCCCATCACACCCATCACCAAGAGTGTGTTTAATGGTGAGAGGCTTCACGGGAACACCCAGTGCTAACCACAATGAGATACACGAAAGCACAGGTATAGTAGCGCCATGTGGTGAAGTGGCGAAAAGGGTTCTAGCGGTACAAAAAGAGGGGTCGTGATGGAGAGAATTCCCACTGCCTTTGGCAGGCCAGCCAGACCTTGAGCGTGGTGGGAACAGGCTTCCCAAAAAGCCAGCTCGGGCCGTCTCCTTCATTCTGTGCGGCCCTAAGAGCATTCACAATGGGGAGTGTCGTGCCGCTCGAAAGGGCAGGGCGAGCAGCCGGTTGCCATTGAAGGGAGGGGGGAGCATATCCAGCGCCGTGGCACTGGCCTCGATTGAGGCAGGCTGTGGGGTCCTGGCATATGGCCAGCGGCTGCAGCTACAATTACAGGGTTCTGCCACGCCACAGGCCCAAATTTTATTCTTTATTTTAATGACACCAGTTACTTATACACCAGTTGCTTACACCAGTTCGTTTGGGGTACCTACGGTGCTCCGTTTGTAAAAACGACGGTTCCTACCCTCCTAACCCACCCCCTAAACCCCCTATCCCAGGCCCACCCTTGCCCCCCTCCCGCCCCCCTCCCTACCCTGGCAGTACACTGGCAGTGTACTGCCAGGTTAGGGAGGGGGGCTGGGGTAGGGGGTTTA